TCCTTTTCGCGATATACTCATAATATCAAATCACACATCGTTAAAACAACAATTACGATATTATCGCAGACCATACATATCGCACACCCCTATGTTTAGATTTTTATAATGCATTGTCTTCTTATCGATCCACCAGTTCACATTCAAAGCTCTGCGTGTTTGCAGGGTAAAAACATGGGTCGATTTTCGCATTGGTCTGAACTCTGAACAAAACAACAGTTTTATTGAAAATGCTCATTCATTCTCTGCCAGCAGGTGGAGCGTTTGGTAGAAATATAACTGTTTTCCCGATAATGGCAGAACACAAAGCAGCGCAGCACCGGATTTTGAACCTGCAGCGCTCATGTTTATTCAATGAAATCATAGCCTTTTGAAGTTTAATCGTCACATTCAGCCATATCACAATTCTGGTCTTTCCGTCCCCAAATTTAACCTTTTGAAATCATAATTAAGACTTTCTTGTACAATTTAAGACTTTTTAAGGCCTTAAATTTAAGACTTTTTAAGACCCCGCGGAAACCCTGTTAGAACAATTTTAAATAAAATTATTTTATAGGAGAAATTTTGTTTATAGGGTGGAAAAACTTGCAATTGCTATTAGAAAAAGCTCAGGTTAACTCAATGTAAGGAGTAAAATCTGAGGGCACACTATAATATGACAAAAAGTCAAGTAGTGTGCACATGTAATGATACCTGCGAGCTGGGCTGGAGGATGCAATCTGCCGTTTTCGGCTCTTACTGGGAGGTGGAGTTTCATTGTCACTCTTTTTTCTCTTTCTTTTGGTTGTTTCTCTGTCATCTGATGAACTGTTGTAAGACAAATGATAACATTTAAATATATAGTAAATACAGTTATCAAAGGTAACTTACAGTGATGAGGAGAAAACCCACCTCTCTGTGTCACTCTTCACTGATTCCTCCCTGAAAGCAATGAATAAAATCATTGAACTTATGTGTCAAATAAAGCTCACAATTATTAAATGAAGGATTTTCTCAAAATGACAGCAGTAGGGTAAAGTGTGTTAGCCTCCTGGACAACTTGCCTCAAAGCATCTCAGTTAATAGTGATAATATTACCACATGCAAATAATCTGACTATTAAACCTTTTCCTAGATGGTTTATGAAAATGCAAATGTCAAGAAATGTAAGATTTGAAAACCATTTACAAATGTAAAATATCATTCCCTTTTACATTCATTTTATTTTATTTTTTTTAATGGTTCACATATTCCAGAGTGACTCAACTAATAAATAAATTGAATAAAATACTGTATATTTAGGTGCATTCATTTTACCCAATTATCACATCTTAGCCCAGTCTCCCTTATGAATTAACAGAATTTTGTAATTTAAGGGCATTAAATTAAACCTTTTCTTTTTCTTCTTCTTGTCCTTTTTCTTCTCTCGTCGAGGAGAGGGTGAGGGGCTCTCAGAGCTGTTACAAGAGAGAAAATTGATTCATTAATATATTATTTTCTTAGAACTCATGCTAAAAGTGTTCCAAATTACTTCTCCATTCTCCAGTTTACCTTTCTCTGCTTTTCTTTTTCTTTTTCTTCTGGCTCTTTTTTCGCTCAGGAGATGAATCAGAGTTATCAGACTCAATAATCCTGAAATGAAATGATGAGAGAAAGACTGAACAGAAAGTAAGTACTCAGATAAGATACAACACATGCAAGTTTGGACTTCTGAAAGGTACAGTACATTTTCGCAGTACATCAAGCTTTTTTATCTCAGGAAAAAGTGATTCCTCATGATAAGACCCCTTCAATCTCCCCTCCATCTACTCACTGGTACTTCTGCTGCTGCTGCTTCTCTCTTTCCAGCCTCTCCTGCTCCCTCTTCTCCTTCTCTCGCTCCTTCCGGTCAGGATGAAAGGATGAGCCGTCAACGTAGTCAGAGCTGATACCAAAAGCTTCTCTCAGACGGTCATTTTTTTGCTGGTTAGCAGCTGCTAGTGCATGAGTCTCGGTCACACTGTGAGAAAGAGCAAAACATGGATGGGAAAAAAAAAAAACTATTAACGGTGCACAGAAAAGGCCATTAAAAAAGCCTTAATTTCTGTCTGAATGATCTAAAGGAATACACACGCTGGCCTCTCTGTTGGAGGAGGGGCAGGTTCTTGTCTTTCTTGCAGCATCAAACGGAAGGTGTTGACTTTCTCTTCGATCTCCTCTGCAGAGTACCTGTCACACAGGATGACTTGGTCAGAGGCTGCTCTTAATATCTACTTCTTGTGATGGCAAAGCTGACTGTTCAGCAACCATTACGTCAGTCTTTAGTGTCAGAAATCATTCTCTAATATGCTGATTTGATGCTCAAGAAACATTTCTTATTACTATTCTTTATATTTTATCTCATCTTACCCCTGCTCCTCCATCATGTCCTGCAGCTCCGCACATTTCACCTCCAGCTGTCTCTTCCTCTGGTGCTCTAGGATATCAGCGTTAGGTTGTCTGTTCAGCTGGCTCTCCAGTCTCTCTCTGTCTTTCTCATCCCGCTCTCCTCCGCGCTCATCCCTGTTCCTTTTCACGCGTACGCTGGACAGGTTCCGCTGAACGTAGCCATTCGTGCCACTGCCTCGCGGCGTGGTCAAACCTATACCGTTATACATCTCTGCTCTGAGAGGCCAGACACAACATGAGAACTCATGAGTAAGCACTGAATTTAACAACTTTGCATATCACATTCCTACTTTTTAAGTGGCTGGGGAAAAAGCAATTGCTACATAAATAATGTCAATAAATGAGTGCTAATATATATATATATATATATATATATATATAATTTTTTTTTCTCCACACAAAACGGAACCTATTCAAAGAATGGTTAAAAAAAATTATTAACATTTTTACAGTTGTTTTCTGAGCTGTTCCGTCATTATTTCTTCATTGATATTACTATATATACGACATTAAAAATAATAAATCATATTTAAAATATGCTTGATACAAATATTTGATACAGTATTTAAAACATCAAATAGTGAAATTTCTTTTCATTACAGTATTGTGGTTGTACAGTGGTGATACTTGGTGTATCAAATAGATCGCGACCGATATATCGTTTTGCCGATATTATCGGCCGATATGAGCCTGTCGCCGATATATCGGTATCGGCGAATATGCTTTTGACTGGTACTGTACTATAATATACACAAAGAATATCGGCCGATATATCGGTATCGGCCTGTTTTTTACTCCCTAATATCGGTATCGGCCCCAAAAATCCCATATCGGTCGGGCTCTAGGATCAAATATAGTGGCGAATTTACGCAATCCTAAAATGCCCAGAATTGCACATTTGCAAATTTTTTTCCAAATTACACCCTGATACAAATTTTGCCTAAACAAAATTACTTTTATAACTAATGCCTTTCTAAAGACATGTTAAGTATATCTTTTAATGTGCTAAATCACTAACAACATTTGTCCAGAAATAGAAAGATTCAGCACTTTGTCTGACATGACCGAAAAAAAAAAAAAAAAACATTTTAAAGCAAGACAGCGTAGTATTATTATTCGCTGCAAGTCTAGGGCTGTTTAATAATTACAGAGGTAATTTACAGAGTCTGTGTTGTACACAATTGATCAAACATGTTGAAACGTGGGGGGG